AAGAAATTAGATGAAGATTTAGATATTCTCTGGGCGTCAAAAGGTTGAAATGTAGATCTGTCAAAGTGGTCAAAAGATGATTTCAGTACTGGTTTGATTCCTGATTACATCGATTGCAAATATTTTGCCGGCAAGCCCGTGGCGACCAAAAAGTTTGGTTTGTGTTTCGCTGCAAAGGAAAATTTTTATTGACACTTTTTGGTGACCACATTTTTCCACATGGCGACTCAAAAAAAAACATCAGTCGCCAGTTGGCGCCTGCCGAAAAAAGTTAATTTCGGACCCTGACATCAGTGTAAATATGTGCCTTTCTGGCTTATTTACTCACAGTGAGGGAGAAGTTCTTGATCTCATCCCAGACAACACGGCCCTTTTTGAAGGGTGACTGTAGTGACGTACATTTTGTCATTGAGCCAACTGTTATTTGAACATAAATTCCAAAGTGTTCAGGAGGAAAGTTTGCATCCAGATATAGGTTTTGACAGCCATAAACATGAACAGCAAACACACCAGTCTGTTAAAAAACAAACAATAATCAACCCAAACATTATTACATTAACAAGGACAGGTCAAATGGATGCAAGCAGATTGTACATTTCTATGTTTAGCATAACATCACCACCAGGCTTTTAGCCAGATGGGTGTTCAGGCATCCCATGGACGGCCACTTTCTAAAGAAAATTGTTTTAATTTTCGTGTTGTCTTATAAATTGCTCATTTGAGCAGGCCCTATAGCACATATTTTTGGAGAGCCACTTTTCAAATTCTGGCTAAAAGCCTGATCACCACTATATTAATAACATTAGAAACAAATGGAACTAAGGTAAACCTTTATACATGTTAGAGTGGAAGGAATGGGTGATTACCATTCAGTTACTCAGTATATTAACTCTAATTAAGGAGGCGGGACGGCCTAGGAAGGGGACGGCCTAGGAAGGGGACGGCCTAGGAAGGGGACGGCCTAGGAAGGGGACGGCCTAGGAAGGGGACGGCCTAGGAACTCGTGGAGACGAGACTTAGAAGCAGACATTAAGAGATTGGGGCTGACCTGGAGTCAGTTAGAAAGGAAAGCCCAGGACAGAGATAGCTGGAGAACTCTTGTTGGTGACCTATGGCATAAGTAAGTAAGTAAGTAAGGAGGCGGGAGGTAATGAGGATAAAGAAGGTAATAAGGAATGTAACAGTTTCTTAAGTTAGAATTGAAATCTCGTTCTCCTGGGTTGTTTGCACGCGCTGTCGAAACTCCTGAGAACACCAAGCCAGTATAGGAGAACAATCTTTACTCTATTGTCTTTAATCCTAATCTTGTGGCCTCAGGGCGTTTTCATATGAATTGAAGCAAAGCGGTCAACTGAAATAATTACATCAAGAAATCACTAAATATCGTTGCATTTCTAACTTAGAAAGTAATCACAATGATTATGCCATGTGCTCATGCTAATAGAGAGCCTTGAGAGCAGTTGAAATCTAAGAATAGCTCTCACTAGAGTCACAAATTTACGTAACAATGTAAATATCAACATAAGTGGATTGTAGCTTACCAACGTTCGTGGGTTTTGATTTTCCTATGAGAATTTCGCTCTAACTTGTTTTACAATCTTGAACAGAAGGGGTCTTAGCTTGAACTGAATTTAGGCTATGTTTGTTAAGCATTTAATGCATCAATCACAATAACGTCAATCAAATGGGAAAATATTTCTAAACTTTACCGGAAGCGGTTACAAGGAACACATTATTTGCTTTGCAATTTTCTCTCGGTGTTGAGTCATCAGCTCTGCTCACTTACAGGCAGTGTTGATTTTTCCACCAATAGAGGATCTTCCTCTTGAAGAATACCCTTTTTCACAACTTCAGAGCCCTTCAATTGGGTGCCAAGACCTTTGTGGAAACAAAACAAAAATGCTAGTAAGTGGTGAATATTGTAATGGAACGTTCCAATTGTATCACTTTGACAGTATATTAAGTGCACTAGGCTGCAAATATAGAATTTGAAGACTACATTGTCATATGGTGAACACTACAAACAAGTAATACTTTGAGGGTAATATTCACATTGTGTAATGTACTTATTTTGTTTATTTGAGGAGATCTTAGTGAGCTATCCCCCTCTCCTCCCCCCCCTCCCCCTCCCCTGAGAGCATTAATTTTATGGTCTCTGTTGACTCGCAGCTTCAGTGGTAAAGGGCCACCTACATAAACTCGCTGGGAGAATTACAGGAGTTGACAACCACCACGTCTACAAGTTTACATAGGATTCTTGTAAAGTCACTTTGTGACATGATGCAAGATTAAATAAACAAATTTACATGTAAAAATATACAGAGGAAGCTCAAATAAAATGGAATGAAATTACAATAAATAAACGTGGTCAGAGATGGAGGCCTTAAATTGTGTGAATGAGTCTATCGACAAGTGATTAAGTGGTAGACTGTTCCATGGTTCTTGTTTTGAGAGACAAAGGGGATTGCACCAAAGTAGGGGTCGCTTCAATTCAATTCCATTCCTTCCGCTGATTAATCGATCGATGAGTGTCTAGAGTGACTATGAAAACCAAATTATTCAGCAAATAATTAAGCTTATTTAGCCGTGAACTTTTTTTTTTTTGAGGTGCCAGAAAAAGAATCTTGAAACTGGGCGAAATTACATGGGACATTGCTTTGAGAAACATTGCCATATATCTTACCCATGCTGGGAAGAACTTCAGCCAGTTCAGAATGCATTATAAACTACGTTAAAACTAAATGAACCATACATCACTTAGCGGCAAAAAAACTACAACATCGCCGCCATTGCCGCCATCTTTGCTTGAGCCGTCAGCGGTCTCCGTCAGCGATTATGCGTAGTTTTCTGTGCAGTGTCATGGCGGACGTCGCATGAGAACGTGCTTTAGAGAAGAAAAAAAATCAAAAGATAATTATCTTTTTGGGATGATAAAGAACTAAAAATGGCGAAACAAGACGTAGAAATGAAAGAGGCATCCAAACAGAACGATACCGCGGAGACAGAGGAGCCACAAGCTGAAGTTTCCAAAGAAGAAAAAGAGAGACTTGTTTTAGAAGGTATGCCAAATGTTCAAGGCCCGAGATAAAAGAAAAAACCTTAAAGCTTAAGTAAGACTTATGAATAATCAAACATTAGTCTAGAAAAGTTGGTGGAATATTCACTTATAACCTTGCTTTTACTATTTTAATACACATGTAAGCGTAATTACATTCAGTCCAATTTGATATAGATCTAGAAGCACAAGTTAGGGTTATAAGCTTATTTTGATAACGGCTTGAATTCAGTGACTGAATTTGACGGTGAGATTTGATGACACACAGTGACAGCTGGGCACTCACAGTAACTAAAGTTCTCAGGGGCAAAGAGCTGATCCTTTTCAAAAAACATGTCCAAAAGACGTACATGTATTGGCATTGAAATGTCACTTTTGAATGCTTTCAATACATATTTCTCATCATCAATTCAATGTAGGTACTACATGAATCATCTTTCATTATAAGTCCCTATTTGTTGATTGATTTATTTATTTGTAGACCTAAAAGACCAGGTGAAGTCCATAGATAAGTCAGTCTCATCTAAAGAACCTCGGCATTTAACTCGTGTTTTGAGGTCTATCCCAACCACAAGGAGGAAGCTAACTCACCCAATCCTCAGGAAGCTCATTTGTGGCTTCTTTCCAAATTGTAAGTACAAAAATGTTCAAGAATAGATACAGGAAAGTGACAAAATGACCCTAGCTAATGGTTATTTTCAGTTTAAATGCAGTTAAAATGCAGTTTAATGGAGTTGACAAAAAGGAGCACAGGTCTTGTCTTTGTGGTCAGCAGCATTTAGATCTGCGCATGTGCAAGGATTCCACATGTTCTTGAGCCACAAGGAGTTCAAGTAGTTTTACATTGCCAGCGCTTTCCTCGAGCATCTAAGTCTCAAGCACGGGGACTCTGCTCAGAGGTTGCTTCCCCTTCCCTCCCCTGTCCCTCCCTTCCCTTTCCACTGTTTTATCATTGTGATGGGTGTCTGCTTTCTCCCTTCTGCATGGGGGCTCATGGCTGGGTTGCCAGGATTTGCCAGCCATGGAAGCGGTCTTGATCTAGGAGCTGACTGCCAATAGTGGAAGGTCCTGGATGCCTCGGGCACCCAACCTCCACTTTGCGAGGCAGTTGTTAATAAACAGTGAGTTTTGCTCCTAAAATGTGGGTTTGAAGGTCAGTTGGTCAAGTAATAACTTGCAAGCAGCTGGTTTCTCCTCTGCCGAACTCCAACTCCCTCATTCGGCATAGGGGAAACCATAGAATAAAGGAGATCCGTGGTAAAACTTATGTAAAGCTTTAAAGTCAATCGTTAAAGCGCAGTTAATGGAGCGTGACGCTATTTACGTACAGTCACTAGCTTACTGTTGTTAAACGTAA